ACCTTCTAAGCTCCTTGGTCACATTTTATGCAATTTCCATAGCTTAAACCAAGGGGAACCAACAACAGAAACCTTCCAAGCAGATTGAACCACATCAAGAAGGCTCAATTGTTCAGTCTAAACATTGATAAATCTGAAACTAGCTTTTGGTTTAGTGGCTGAGGCGTCAATTTTTAACACCAAAGGTCTGTGATCAGAGCAGATAAAGGGCAAGTGCAGCACAAAAGTGAGCAAATATTCTTCCATCTATTTAACATTCACCAAAAACCTATCCAGCCTTTCATGTGTCTTCCCCCTTTTCCAGGTGTCAGTAGGGCCCTGGAAACCCAAGTCCACCAAGTTTGCTGCTTTAATGTTATCAGAGAAAAATGTTAGGCTGTTCATATTAGCAGGCCTCCCAGCCCACTTTTCAGTAGGGCTTGCAATGCAGTTGAAATCACCACCAATAATGCAACTGTGCACCATAGAATTGATGATAAAGTGAAGGTGAGACCAAAGCTCCAATCTATACCTATCATGGCAACCAGCATAGACAAAGGTCATAACAGCTTCCAAAACATCAAATTTTATGTAGATAAGTAAAAACTCAGAGTGGTCAACTAAAACATTCCAATTTGCTTTTTTCCTGTAGAAAACCCATATCTTGTTATTGACATTAGTATATGATTGAAATCCAAAAAACTTCCTTTGGATATTTTTTTTAATTGATGAGGTCATTGGTTCAAGAACAGCAAAGCAACAGAATTTATGGATTCTATTCAAATTGGAGAGTTTATTAAGGAAACTAGAATCTGAAATTCCCCTAATATTCCAACAAGGAATTTTAATCATGATGTAAAGACTTTGAAGCCCTGGTGGATTTACCCAGAGCCTCAAGGCTACCATTAAGACCAGAAAGGTTATCGTCCAGGAAGTTTTTTAGTTCCAAACTGCCTTTTTCTTTCTTCTTCTACTCTTTTGAATTTACCAATCTTCCTCTAACATATATCTGATATTTTGTAGGTTGTTGTCATCAGTGGTTGGAAGGAGAATTTCAGGAGCTTCAGGATAAACTGTTTCAGGAGGTACTTCTTCCACTATAGTTTGTTCCAGGGTTTGTGTCTCTTCCACTAGCATCTGCTCCTTTTCTGGAGAGTGATGCAAGATAATCTCATTCATGTTATTTTAAGAAGAGGGTACTGCCAGCACATTATGATCCTTGTCATCTTCCTTATCCTCAAGGTCATGTACATGAACCACACTGTTATCAACATCAAAATGCCTTTTCTCTACTGCCTCAACAGATGTTTCCCACAGGTTTCTACTATTAACAGGCCTGTCCATAGCATCCAAATGTACTGGAGGAATAGCCTTTAGCTCCAGGTGTAGCCTAAAGCACTTTTCAGCAGTGTGAACAAACATCCTGCAATTTTCACAGTAATAAGGCTTCTGTTCCATAATCACTTGCTGCCAATGACCATTATGAGCAGTGTCTATCGAAATTTCATCCACTTCAGGCAGGATAATGTCTCTTTCCACCAAAACTCTTGCGCCGAGGGTCTATTCAAATTGAAACTTGAGAAATCAAACTTCATTGGTCTGCCAAGAATTGCCCGAGGGAGAACAATATTTGATGGTTGAAGAGGTGTAGTTTAAGACCAAGGCATATGAACCAAATTGGTACAATTGGAGGTTCCTGGCTTGGGTCAAACTCTGGTGACCATTTCAAGAGCTTCATGCACTTTCCATCACTTTTTATATATATTTTTTGAGAAAATTTTGGCATATTGCTCTTCTTTGGTTTGTTGGATCATCACATGTCTCTCATCAAATAGGCCTACTTTCTAAGCTCCAACAAGTCTTAAATCCTCAAATCTTTTTCTGATGAGTTCCATCTTTGAATGTCCATGTTGAAATTTCCCAACTAGGGTAAACTTGCATGAGTCAGCCAAGCAAGATACCTCTTGTTCAGTGCTAAATAAAGTAGATTTGCCCCTTTTCTTACTAGCCTTTTTAAAAAAATTACAGCCACCTTTTCCATCAAAAGCATCATGAGACACTTGACGGAACACAAGGCTATCCCCAAGGTTTGGTGCACAGTCTTGAGCTACTGTTTCAGTAAAAGAAGAAGATTTAAGACCAAAGGGTTGTCGAGAAGGTTCATGGGGAGAGAAATAATCGCCAAAAACCAATAGAACAGTACCAAAATCCCAATCCGAAAAAAAGGAAATTTGAAAAAACAAGATCCGACTCGATCAAAAAGTAGAGGGAAACCTTAGAAATCAGAAGAGCATGAAGAGAAGAAAGGAAAAACTACAGGGAGCGCCGCCAGGTAGAGTTACAGCACCAGTGTCATCTATATATCTATGTAATTCTCTCTCCATGTATGCATGTATGTATGTAGGTATGTATGTATGTATGTATGTATATATACATACATACATATAAATATATATTTATACATATTTATACATATCTATAAATGTATAAATGTATGTATGTATGTATATATATTTATACATATATATATATAAATATATATCTATATATATATATAGATATATGTATGTATGTATATGCATGCATGCATCATACATACATACATACATCCACACATCCACACATCCATACATACATACGTACATACATATATATATGTGTGTGTATATATACATACATACATACATACATAATGAATGCTATAACTAATATTAATTCTATTTGATGTTCTTGGTTTATTGATTTTAATGTTCATAAAAGGAACCTTCCATACAATGTTAAGTTGCATCAATATTTTAGAAAATCTCATAAAAAAAACAATTTCCAAGATGGCTATATACTTGGCTATATGGATAAAATCTAGGAAGATTTAGGTATATACCACTCAATTCTTAGGTATTAAAATATCTGACATCTAAAAATAAATTTTTACATACATAAAACCTTAATTGTGCTTTTAGAAGTTAAAATGATGGTATTTTTTAAGTTTTCAGAAAGATTGGTGGTATACATGTTAGCTAGGAATAAGGTGGTATGCATGTAAATGCCCCTAAAATCTATTGTGGCATACTTGTTATCATCAAAATAGAAGTGTGGCTATTATTTCATGGAAAGTATATGCACTCTGTGGCGCTTTCAATTTTTGTTGCTTCAGATATTGGCTTTGGATAAAATCAATGCTTAAATTTGATGGTTTCAAGAATATATCTACTAGCCTATGGATCAACAATACATAAATAAATAGTATGATGCATGTAACTGAATAACTTCAAATACTTTTTTGTTAGTTTTTAATCTTGTATGTGAGTGCAAATTGGACGAGTGATTTTATTTTTTTGCGGTACAAGTAAAACTATGTAATTTTGAGAGTAAGTCATCATCTTGTACAAGCGAGAGACATGAATTTTTCTACTGTTTAGTTCTGTCGTTAATCTAAGGGCTTTCATATATCTTATTATTGGCTATTGAGCATTACTAATTTTATTAAAATTTAATATAACTAATATTCTAATTGTAGCAAGTAAATTACAAATGCTGGCTGATTTGTGCGATTTGAATTTATCATTGGTTTCTTCAAATTGATTTATTCAATTATTGTGTTATTGTTTGAGTTCTATTCTCATAACTACTAGCATACATCTAAAGTGGGTATGAGTTTGCATATTTAATTGTACGTGAACTGTGAAGTTTATTGCATGATATACATAGCATCATTCTTACTGCACCAAATAATTTAAGTCTAAACCATCCTGCATCATCATTAAAGATTCAAAGCCAAGATATTAGGAAACGACTATAAGGTATGAACTCCGGTTCGTGAACATAATTTTTAATTTTAAAGCATAAACAAAATGACCAAGGTAAGTTTCATAGAAACAGCACTAGGATCATGCCTCATGATTTGAGCAAAATTCAAGAAAACCAGAGCTATGAGATTTGCAGCATTTTGGAGCTCTTTGAGCAGATTTAACTAAGAATTTCTTTTAAACCAAAAGCCTATCTAAACTTTTTTATAAACAATAAGAATTGATTTATTAAACGATAAGCTTTTAGACAAGAACGTCATCAAAACACTAGTCAATGTTCACTAATGGATTTTTTGGTTACAATTCTTAAAAGACTAAAAAATGGAAATACAAAGTTTTTGATCTTTTTGGTTTTTAATTTTTTTGCTGCTTGATTTGAAGTAAATTAAATATGAAGTTTATATAGGAGACTTGGAATACCCCAAAATGCCCATTTTCGACAAATTTAAATTTCATTCAAATTAGACTAACTCCAAATGCAAAGAAAACCAATAGCTCCCCCCACACCCATAGCAATCTACCACAACCCTCAACCCACCACTCGTTGCAATCTACCATATTTCAATGCATTTAATTAACTCTGGTTGAATTAACAAGACAAAGGGATGATAAAAATTGTTCAATCACATTTTTCTAAACAATATAACACCAGTAAATCATAAGTCATCTAAACTTGTACTAAATCAAAGAAAAGACTTCTAACTGTACTTTAAAGTTCTGCCACTTCAAAATATAGTTTCATCCTTTATGGATGAAATTTGGATGTAAATAAAAAAATTGATATGAGATTTGGTTTTTGAAATAATGAAATAATTGCTCCAAAAAATAAATTATACATTCATAACATGGGCTTAAATAGGGTATTACAAGGTTTTCATTCATAACATGGGCTAACATGGGCTTAAATAGGGTATTACAAGGTTTTATAAATAAACCCCTGAACATCTTCAATATACCCTTTTTTTCAATAGGACCCAAAATTAGGTCCAATTCTCAACATGAAATCATGACCATAAAATAAAATCAGCATTTAAACCAGTTATAATGAGTATTGTACAGCCACATATTTATTATAAACCTATTGCTTCGTTCTGAAGTAGATACTACAATAACCTGGCATTATACAGGCAGCGTGACTATTGTTACTATATAGCCCAAAATTAGTTAAAATAAATTTTTAAATTCCCAATAAAGAATGTTTGTAAGTATGCTTACATCATATGTATCATTGGAACTTGACGAAGCTGGCTGGCGGAAGGATGGATTTAAAATAGAACCAGTGGCAGAAAGAACACAAACTGCCCTCTTCCCTTGTTGCATGACCGAAACAAGTTTGTTGACCAGATCCTTTACATTTATCCATATGTCCCCAAGTTAGAAGATAATTACGTAAATTAACTAAACAGAATCTGATTGCTCATAAATAGAAGACAAAAATTGCCATATCAAGAACTTGTTTTCCTAAAAAATAACTTTGATATTTAATTACGTAATTTTGACATGTGAACATTGGAAACCAAACTGCTATGTTGCTATCTTCAAATATAAATAGACCTGCACATACGTGCCTAATAACCTCAGATGATAATGATGACTGAACCTATGATATGAGGAGAAAATGTAAAGGAGCTTGGATTTAATTTTCTCCAAGGACTGTAAGTTGCTGGAGGGATGATATAATAACACTAGATGACCACATCGATGAGTTAAAAGGTAATTTGACTAGTGTAATAATCAAATAAAATCAACCAAGCAATATACACTCCTCTAAGTTGAAAGCATTTTTATTTGAAAAGTAGCATATATTAAGTAGATAATGATAATATTATTACAAGGACATTTACTAAAAAGTAAAGAAAAAAAAGTACAATCAGGATGAAAGCTACAATGATTGGAACCACTCTTATGTATTCAAATATGTTTCAACTTCTAGTGCGATGTACTTGCTTGGTTGGCAAAATATGCTCCAAAGAGTTCTAAAATTATTCTAAATAAAAGAAAATAATATATTAAAGCTTACATATGAATTTTGAGATTTAAAATTTGGAAGTTTAAAATTAGTCTAAATAGAAGTGTGGCGGTTCTTTGTGTTGCCATCCCCTTCTCCTCCTATTTTCTTAGGTTTTTAAAATTGAGTTTGCTTAGAATTGATGTAATTTGATTAAATAAAGTATGGAAATGAAATAAGAGTTTTGGTTCATTGAAGAAAAAAAAAGGTGATAATGGAATATCTTGGAGCTTGGCTAACCTTAATTTCAATTTATGGGAGGCTAGTTATCCTTTAGTATTGTGTTGACTGCTATCTCTAACTCTTCTACACTAATAAAAATGTTCTTCCGTATACTCTCCCATATCTCAAAGCCTTTCTCCTAGACAATAATGAATCCACAACAACATCCAAAATCCTTGTTAGAAGCTCTCAGCAAAACAAAGTTCTACTTCACTCTGTTAGAGTAAATTTTATTCTCAAATTTATTTAACTTAAATAAATGTTATAAGTATTAATGTTAGCTATTATTAATTTATAAGAGGAAACTTTAATTGAAGAACTTTTAGTTTGAAGTATTAGAAGATCGAAATTATTAATTTCATACAAAAAGAAGAAGGAATGGTTAGGATTTTCTTACATGTTAAATATTTTCTTTTTTAATTAATAGTTTGATATTAATAGTAATATTATGAATTGAATCAATGATTAAGGCTTTGCTGTTGCTGTTGTTGTTGTTGTTGAATCAATGATTAAAGGAAAATTGAAATCAATTTTGTCTCTTGTGCAAAAGAGAAAGACGGTGAAAAAGCGTAAGGGTTTATTACTTTATGATTTAATTATATAATTTACTTTAATTAAATTTATTATTAATTTAATATTAAATTTTTAAGAATTAGTGTTGTAATTATAATTTGATCAGAGTTTAAGTTAAAGGACAAAAGAAAATAAAACCAATCAACCGCACAAGTTTTACGAAGGCATGTTAGGGTTATTTAAATTAAATCACTTTTATAAAATTGATATTTGTGCTTAAATATTTAGTTGGAGTAATATTAATTTGGACCTATGTTAATTAGTCAGAAAATATAGAAGAAAGAATATTTAGAGTTAAGAGGGATTATTCATAGGATGGAAAGCTCGAGATGAGTACTTGTAATTTTAGATTATAATAGTATTTGATTTTTTCTAAATCTAATGCACTCTTAATCATTCAGTTAACATTTATACCGCAAGACCAAAATAAAAAAAAAATACTACATAAATTCATGTATTGCATTATTATATGTATTATAATATGTCTTGAATAATATATAAATAAGAATTAGATTGAGTATTCTGATTATTTTGTATGTGAGTGCTTGGCTATGATGAAGCCCACTTTATGATACTAATAACAGAACACTAAGATACCCATGCATGTAATTTGAAAAGGATATTAATATTGACGTTGCTTAATTGATAAAATTTTAAATGGTGCTCCTATGATAGTTGTACAGATATAAAAGGATATTAGACATGTCACATATATAGTAAAATGCATTAAATGTTATGAATTATCGTGAATGATCATATCTGAAAAAAAAAACAGGTAAACCGTGTAATGCTTTTATATTGATTTATCGTATTTCTAACTGGCATGCATGTAGTTCCCATTTCATTACGTTACTGTAGTTTAAAAATAGAAAAGAATAATATATGAAATTTGAAGAAGAGACAAGGACAACAAAAAATGAAGTAAATCTAACTATATTACTTTAGATTACTTTATTTAGTGGTTCTTTCCTTTCATTTAAATTATAAATTGTTATTGAAAATGAAAAATTAAAAGAAATTTAATTAATACCATCCGACTATATTCTCGTCTTGAAAAACTTCAAGCTTTGCCTGGGTAGTGACAAAAGTAGTATCAAAGATAAGATATAGAATTAATTAATACAATATTAATGAAAGAGCTAATATCATAATTATAGGAAAATTTTATAATAATAAAACTGAAAATTTAATCTAATACATATTAAATCATTATTTTAATTCAGGCAAATGAATGCACCAAACGTTATATGAGAGAAGTCTGATAAAAAATTAAGTACCACCTACAATAAATGTGAACATCAATGCCCTAACCCAAATGATCACAGCAATGACATAGTTGACTCACAAGTCTGGGCCATAGGTTGGAGGGAGCGATACATTTGTTGTGTATAAGCATTTAAATATATTTCAAGATCTATATCCACCTTTGTTTAATGGAACCGAAGATTCAATTAAAGAAAAAAACCAGTTGATGAAGATAGAAAAGATACTAGACATCATTTCATGTCCGGCGGAAAGAAAATAATCGTTAGCTACATTTATGATGAATGAAGAAGATTAAAAATGGTGGCAATGACAACATCGGGACAGGTTAGGGGACATACCCAACACGATGGTAAGTTCAGAGGATTTTCTAGAGCTTTTTAAAGAATTATTTGTACCCTCATCCACTCGAGGACAGATGCAGGACAAGTTTATCAAATTGGTGCAAAGAGAAAAGTCAGTCATGCAGTATGAATCAAAGCTCACTACACTATCAAGGTATGTACCACAGCTAAAAGCTACTACTAAAAAAGAAAAGCTATAGGTTCTTTTATGAATTAAAGGATTTGATCACGCAACCGATAGTGCCTTTGGAAATTGATGAATACTTGGTGTTAGTGGAGCAAGCTAAAAGAAGAAATTAATTATCAGCTTGCTCAAAAAGGAGACACACAAATGGAAATATATGGATGAAAGAGAACAAGTGGTTCTATCAGAGGGATCAAGTGGGAAGAAGCCTAACTTCAAGTCAAGTGGAGTCAATAGTGAAGGACTCACAGTACCGTAGCCTCATGTGTCAAATATGGTAGACAACATAAAGGTGAATGTTTGATAAGCTCTCATACATGTTACTAGTATCGTCAATCTGATCACATAGCTAGATACTACCCGTCTCTTGGCCAGAAAACCTCAGAAGAACATAAATCAGGTGGAGCTCCTTCACATAAAAATGCAGGTGGGCGGAGAAGGATAGTCTACTACTTCAGCTCCTACTAAAGTCCAACCAAGACAGCATGTTTGACCTCGAGTTTATTCCCTTACCAGTAGAGAGCTTGAAGAACCTGTTGCCAATGTTGATACTAATAGGGATTGATGAGTGTTATGTTTTATAGAATGGTATAGGAGTGTTAATGTCCAAAATTGCTATGAAATAATTTATCAATCACGAAAATATACGTGTTGATCAAGTAATACTCAAAATCAGAGTCTGTGTATTAATCTAACGAAAAAAAACGTGTCAATCTTTCTAATATGTGAAATTTTAATTTACTAAACCGCTAAGTCTAGCTTGCAATGTTCATAATTGCAAAGGTTGAAAAGGTTCTAAATTCCTAATGTAGAAAGAAAAAAATAGAACTTAAAGTTTTTAGAGATTCTCAAAGGTGAAATGTTCATACTAGTGTGACACCGATATAGTGATTCCTCATTATTTTTTTCTATGAGTTCCCAACATTATTTTTGACAATGAGGGACAAATCCTCCTACACCTATGTCTAGGTCATAAGAAACGTGTTAGAAATCCTTATTACTGTTGAGGTGGCTTAATCATGCAAGGCATCCCAGGAATCCTATAGTCTCCCATCTAGATTCACTCTCCTACTACCAATATGATTACTTCACTAGGTGGATGTGTAAACCTTACTTGTTCTTTCAGTCAATGATTATAAGTCCCAGATCACAAGATGTTTTAACTTCATAATTGGTCAAATTAGAAGTAAATTAAAACTAAAAAGTTAACACACCAACATATAAAATTCATAGTATAGAAAAATATTTAGAAAAAAAACTCAATGATAAAATAATGAAAACATCACGTCTTACATAATACAAGTATGAAAAAGATTTGCTATAATGCATGAGAAAAGAAAACACAAAAATTTCCATTAAAAATATTAAAGCAAACATAAAAAGGAAAAGAAAACTCAAATACAAGCCAATCGCCCCTTGTAATACAAAGCAATCATCTTCGTACAATGCAAGCTCTCTATCGATCTCCCTCGTACAAGTGTACAGGTTTCTTCCTCACAAACTATCAAAAGTCTAAGAAAAATAACCCTAGAAATCTTCTTCAAAGAAAAACTAACGGAGAAAACACTATGACACACCAAAAACTCCTAAAACCTGAGAAGATAAGGCCTCCAAATAGCTAACAGGTGCCCTAATTGGGCCCAAAGAGTCTCCTTATATAGCCACATCCCAACCACCTCCAAAATCTTGCCAAAACTACGCTTGGGAAAAACTTGGCGTTGGGACACCAAAGTCTGGAATGATTATGCTGCAG